TTTACAGTGTCATCTTTCTCATGAAACGTCATTTATTTACCCTTGAACTGTGATGCTGGCTTGTAAATATTTACCAGGATACTGTACCTAGTCCATTCCCCCTTTGACAGCAAAGCTTAATACAGACAAAAATGTGCCCGGACACAGACACCTCCGTGTGCACAAAACAATAGCCATGTGACAATGCTGATGATGCCTATTGTAAACTTCCCTGAAGCTACTGCCATTCAACATGGCATTCTGACAACATGAATGTCATGAATATTTCATTTCCACAGTTATTGTCCAAGAAAAAAGATATACAGTTCAGTCACCAAACATTGACCATGCAAAATGCTCCAATATTTAAATGATAATACTGGTATGAAACAGCAGAAATGTGAAAGGTAATGTACAAAAATATTAACTCATTAACTCAACAAATAATTTAATGTATTGTACAAAAAATTAAAACACATAATACGTGACAACTTTTCCCAATAAAAAATGTAATCTAATGTGATACTGACACTTTCAACTTAAAAAAAGAACAGAATAATGTTCTTTTTAGCAACACCATATGACCCCTTTAATATAAAACCTTTATACTTTAAACCTTTATATAGCTACTGCAGTGTTAATTTATCATTGAGATAATATTATAGTTTTTCTAAATATTTAGAATTTTAAAAATATTTAGTTTTCATGTTATTTTAATTAAAGTTTAGTGAGTTGGCTATGGTTATGTTTTTGTCTATATATCTATATAGATTTTATTGATTTTTATTTCAGTTTTAGTTGTTTTAATACCATTTTAGTATCAAGTTAAACTAACTGAAAATGAAAAATGTTTCCTTGGCAGCAAGCTGAAATAAAATACATTTTTATTTAATTTTAATTTAAGTTTATATATCTATATAGATTTTATTGATTTTTATTTCAGTTTTAGTTGTTTTAATACCATTTTAGTATCAAGTTAAACTAACTGAAAATGAAAAATGTTTCCTTGGCAGCTAGCTGAAATAAAATACATTTTTATTTAATTTTAATTTAAGTTTATTTTATTTCAAGTTTTTTTTTATGGTTTTAGTTTAATTAACTGTAATAACCCTTAGCTCCTGAGATATAGCTCTAGTGACAACTAACCCTGGTCTCTAATATGGCTGTAAATATTGCAAAAAGAAAAAAAAGTTATCAGACATTTTAATTCATTGTCACAATATAAATGACTGAGGTATTTAAAAATATCTTTATCAGGTCTTTGATGACTGGTCCAAAGGCGAGTTCAAGATCAAACCAGGAGACGAGGCTTCATCTAAGAATGAAGCAAGCGCTGACAGGGATGCCAGAAGTATGGCCCTGAGATTCAGCTTCTCGTTCCCTTCGGTGAACCATGGTTACATGCGTAACCTGGAGACGTTCCCCTTCAGGAACTCAAGCTGCGTCGAAACGCTACGGGAACAAAAATGCCCACACCGCCAGACTTACAAATCCCTGCCTAGTGTGGAAGAGGTCAGCTAAAGCGAGAGAACGGAGCCAGGAGTGGCGCAGAAAGCAGGTAGGCCCCTGACAAAGTAGGCGGGGACATCCCGCCCAAAGGCCAACTTCAGAAAGAAGGGAGTCTTGACCCCCAACGGAGAGGGGAGATCAGAGGACTTGAGGCTATGGAATAGCACCCCAGTTTATATCCTAAGCATAAGCTTCTCTGGCCGGAGGCCTCAGCCTCAGCGCACTGCGGAGAAAACGTGTCACCAGGGGGTGTCTGCCCACTGACTGGCCACAATAGGTGCGTGGTAGGCCACAATGGCCGCCACATAGACCTTTAGGGTGGAGTCGGTCAACCCTGTGGAAAAATGGGCCTGCAGGAACTCCAGAACTGTACCAACTGGGCAGTTAGCTGGGTCGAGCTGGCGGTCTCCGCACCAAGAAGTGAAAATCTTCCACTTCAAGGCGTACAATTTCCTCGTTGAGGAAGCTCTGGATTGGAGGATGGTCTCAACAACCATGGGGCCACACCCACAACTTCCACAGCTCCGGGAGGGGGTGAAATATCGTGCCCTCCACCTGTGAGAGGAGGTCCCTCTTGACGGGGATCAGAACGGGGCTACTAGCAACAGACGGACCCCGTCCTGGCACACTCTCCTAGAACTCCCGGGATCAGAGCGATCGGGGGATAGGCGTACAGATGAAGCCTCGGCCAAGTCTGCACCATAGCGTCCAGTCCAAGAGGAGCTGGATGAGTCAGAGAGAACCAGAGGGGACAGTGCGATGTCATCTGAGTCGCAAACAGGTCCACCTGAGCCTGGCCAAAAATTCTCTATACCTGCTTCACCACCTCAGGGTGAAGCTTCCACTCCCCAGGCCTTGGCCCCTGCCTCGACAGGATGTCTGCTCCCATATTGAGATGCCCAGGGATGTAAACCGCTTTTAGGGTGTTTTCACACCTGTAGATTGATTGCTTTGTTTTGAAACAGGGATTACAATTATTACAGTGTTGCTTTTTATTCCTGGTGTGGTTTGCTTTCACATGGCAATGTTTCTAAACCGACCAAATTTGTTAATACAAGTCACGCGCGAGTAAACTGTTTTCTCATTGGTCAAAGTTTCATGGTTTATTTTCCGGGATTCCACTTAGCAGTCACGGCTGTCATCTGTCAGGATGGAACGACAACAGCTTCGCGGGCTTATTGTTGTTGGAGTTTTTTTTTGTAGATGTCGTTATATTAATAATTTATCACTTTGAGCAGGAGTCTTTTAAAATGCATATACTAGGAAGAAGAGCAATAAGACGGCATTATAAAATGAAAAAGTGCACTTTGATTTTGAATGGCGAAGACATGCTCACCCACAGACATTCACATGGTTAATTTTGAAGTATTAGCAAAACAACAAAGCTAATGCTTTTCACGGAACTTATGTAATTACCCATTATACATTGTGATATAGCCTGGTTCGTTGGTCCGTTAGATCGAATTGCTTTCTCACTACATCCGAACCGCTCCAGAGTTTGTTTCCAATCGAGCCGAGACCGCCTCGTTCAGGTGATCTCGGACCGACACATGACAATCTCTTAGGTCTGGGAGAAAGTGTTTCAGTGCTCGAAACACGGCCAGCATCTCCAGGCAGTTGATGTGCCAAGTGAGATGGCGACCACTCCACAGACCGCGGGCAGGGTGGCCACTCATGACCGCACCCCAACCGGTGACGGACACATCCATGACTAGCGTTACACGGCGACAAGGAGCTCCCAGGACTGGGCCCTGAGACAAGAACCAAGGTTTGCTCCACATGTCTAAGACACGTAGGCACCTCCGCGTGACCTTGAGCATGCGAAGCGGGTTTCCCCTCGGGGAGAACCCCTTGGTCTTGAGCCACCACTGTAGGGGTCTCATGTACAGCAGGCCAAAAGGTATCACGTTGGACGCAGCTGCCATCAGACCCAGCAATCTCTGAAAATGCTTGACAGTATGTGACTGGCCTTCTCTCACTCTCTTGACTGCAGTGAGGATCGACTCGATCCAAGCAGGGGACAGACATGCCTGCATCGTGGTCGAATCCCACACCACGCCCAGATAAGTGATCCTCTGTAATGGAGAAAGCACACTTTTCTTGGCGTTTAGTCTTAACCCCAACTCTTTCATGTGAGCGAGAACAACATCTTGATGTCGAACTGCTACTTGCTCTGAATAAGCTAATTATATTAACCAATCGTCGATGTAGTTGAGTATGCGGATGCCCTGGAGTCGCAGAGGAGCCAGAGCAGCATCCACACACTTAGTGAAAGTGTGGGGAGAGAGTGCAAGGCCGCAAGGAAGAACCCGATATTGGTAAGTAACCCCAACTCTTTCATGTGAGCGAGAACAACATCTTGATGTCGAACTGCTACTTGCTCTGAATAAGCTAATTATATTAACCAATCGTCGATGTAGTTGAGTATGCGGATGCCCTGGAGTCGCAGAGGAGCCAGAGCAGCATCCACACACTTAGTGAAAGTGTGGGGTGAGAGTGCAAGGCCGAAAGGAAGAACCCGATATTGGTAAGCTTTGCCCCCAAAGCAAACCTCAGGAACTTCCTGTGTTGAGGAAGGATGGAGAAATGGAAGTATGTGTCTTTTAGATCGATAGTGACAAACCAGTCCTCGGACCTGATCTGAGACACGATTTGTTTGAATGTGAGCATCCTGAACTTCAGTCGCATGACTGTGCGAGCTCCGCTCCCCATTAATGCTGCTCATTATAATAGGCATAATATGCTTGTGTAACTGATGCTTGTGCAACTGGCGAGCTCATTGACGCCCTCCTTATCAATCTCCTCGGAGAAAGACAGGCGGAGCATCGCGCCCTCTCCCTGGGGGGGGAAGGACCGCAGCGCTGGCTTCCGAAACCCCGAAAGCGGGCGCTGGATCTGGTGGTTAAGGAAGAAGATAAAACTCGCCCGTCTACATTCCCTCCACCGGATCCATATGCGAAACACATGAGCACAGCCGCCGGTCCGCCTCGGCGAAAGCGGGGTCAGCACCGCGAGAAACGCTAGTGAAGGCTCCCTCCTCAAAGAGAGCCCTCTGAGAGCGAAGCAAGGCAGTAACAAAACGCTCGCAATGCGGGCCGTCAGCTCCCTTGAGAGCTGACTCTGTGTGCTTCGCTCCCAAGCAGACAACACACAAACTTTGTAAGTCCCCACCCGAAATATAGCACGGGCAGGGAGGAACACACAGCCTGAACGCTACCTGCTCACCCAAATGCTTCTTTTGACTGAAGCTTTGACGTAATGGAGCTTATAAGTGGAAAATTAACGTGTTACGACCCTTTAAGATGGTCTAGGGGTAAAAGGAGTAACATTAAATCTGTGGCAAATCTGTAAACTTGGAGGCAGCCAATGTCAGAACAAAAACACCAAGGATTTTGGCATAAACCAATAAAGCAAGTCAAAAACTAATAAAAAGACAGCAAAAATCAGGGCGCAAAAGAGGTCTCCATTCACTTCTCTCTGTGTCCTTTTATCTGCCGGCAAAAACTTTACCAGCTGTGACCTTGGCCTCTACCGGTCGTACTTGGCCTTGACCAACCTCCTTACCGAGGTACGTGACAGTTGCTTTGCCAAATTCACATTTTGCTAGATTAAGTGTTAAATTTGCTTTAACAAGTCGTTCAAACACTGTTCTCAACAGGCAAATGTGTTCGGTCCAACTCAACGAATACAACACCAGATCATCAAGATACGCGTTGCAATTTGGTACATCATGTAAAACGATATTAACGAGGCGCTGGAAAGTTGCTGGGGCATTTCTAAGCCCAAAAGCCATTGCCGTATACTGGAGGAAGTTGTCTGGGGTTACAAAGGCTGAAATCTCCGAAGCTTGTGAGGTGAGTGGAACTTGCCATTATCCTTTCAGCATATCAAGCTTTGTAACAAAACATGCAGAACCGATGTTATCTATACAATCCTCCATTCGAGGTAACGGGTAACTGTCTGGCACAGTCACAGCATTTACCTTACGGTAATCTGTGCAGAATCTGAATGTGCCATCGGGTTTGGGAACAAGTAGGCACGGAGAACTCCAAGGACTGCAGCTGGACTTTGATAAATCATGTTCCAACAAATACTCTACCTCTTGATGCATAACAGATCTTTTCATTGAGTTTACGCGGTAAGCATGTTGCTTAATAGGACGAGCTCCGTTCACATTAATATCGTGTTTCAGGACATTTGTTTGTGTAGGAACATCACCAAACAGACATTTAGAACCAGAAAGTAATTTTTCAATGTCTATTCTCTGATCCACGGTCAAATGATTAAGATATGAGGGAAGATCTTCTAAAATCTCTGAATTTGCTAACCTTGCACACTGCTGAAAAGTATGACGAAGCACCACACTATCTGTGTCCGCACCCAAGGTAACAGTAGATGGCGTCAGATCCACGGCTAGCGCAACAGAAGAGACAACGGGCCCTGCAGTCTGTTCCACAGCACCGGCCGTTGGCGTTGACGACTCTCTGGTATGATAAGCTTTTAACATGTTTAGATGACAAACACGGGTTTTTCGTTTTCGATCAGGTGTGTACAACATATAATCAGTTTCACTCATTCTCTTTTTCACAACATAGGGACCAAAGAAAC